TACACGATGATGCATTGATGTTGGAGTTCCTACGGACCAGCATGGTGCCAGGCACAGTGGGTGCCAAGGAGCGAGATCGTGTTCTCCAACGGGCCAAGAGGTACTGATTGGAGGGATCACATGTTCTCCGAGTATGGGAGGACGGTAGGGTACGAGTAGTACCACATCCAGCCCAGAGAGCACGCATTGTGAGGCATGCTCATGAGGAGTTGGGACATTTTGGAGTGAAGCGTACATACAGCTTACTCCTTGGTCAGTATTGGTGGCGTGGTATGCATACTCAGGTACAGCAGTTGGTATCACGTTGCATGGTTTGTGATCGAGTGAGGGCATCATTCAATGCCCCGACACCAGTGTTACATCCATTACCCATCATGGGGTTGGGTTACCGTTGGAGTTTGGACTTTGCTGGACCACTACCTTTGACTGTACGACATCATCGGTATGTGTTGGTGATGGTGGAGCATTTCTCCAAGTGGATTGAGTTTGTGGCATTACCTGACAAGGCAAGTGAGGGAGTAGCGTATGCTTTTCTTGACAGAGTGCTTAGTCACTATGGTGCACCAGCTGAGGTGTTGACCAATCAGGGAACGGAGTTTCAGGGTGAGTTTCAGGTCTTGTGCGACAAGGCACTGATTGATCATCGGACCACGTCGCGAGATCATCCAGAGGCGGATGGTTTAGCTGAACGTGTTGTACAGACGGTGAAGAGGGCGTTGCGCAAGTATGGCCTGCAGAAAGGTCATCTTGGGGACTGGGATATCCAGTTACCGTGGTTGGCCATGGGATATCGGTTCAGTCGGCAGGCATCCTTGGCTTCCTTCTCACCATATTTTCTATTGTACGGCCGAGATCCAGACTTGCCAACATCGATTCGTCGTGAGTCTAGCGAGGTGGTGAACCTTGATGACCCGAATATGTGGGTGAGAGTATGTTCTCAACGTGCAGAGCTCTTTCGAAGAGTTATGCCTGCAGCGTTTGAGAATCTTGCGATTGCTCAACATAGAGATACGTTGCGGTATGCAACCATTCGGGGAGGGGGTTATCGACCATCAATTCGTAGATTCCATGTGGGAGACTACGTCTATCTACAGCAGACTGCACCGACGACATTGGATGTGACGGCGGGACGCACCATCTTGCGGGTGCGGGAGGTGTTACCTTCTGGAGTTCTCCTGTTGGAGGGTCGTGACGGCGTTGTTTGGAAGGATCATGTGCGCAATTGTGCGCCATGCCACCTCCCAAACGTAGATGGCACTATGGACCCAAGCTTAGCGATAGTACGTGCTAGCTTGAGGTGCATGCTGTGTGGGTCGGCTGGTCAGGCGGCCCGTATGTTGGTGTGTGATAGGTGCTCTATGGGATGGCACATGTCGTGCCTAACTCCGCCTATCGATGTTATTCCGGCTGGACGATGGGTTTGTCCTTGATGTACTTCATAGGGGTAGATGACTTGATCTTCACATGTTATGAATTGCAGATAGGCGACTAACGATGGGGCGACATAGCACCCGGCCTACTGGTTCGCGCACCCACGAAGGTGTATAGCATGTAGTTGTTGATGGGGCTACCTGGGAGTCAGAGGAACCTGACCGCCAGCTAGGGGGGCGAGTTGTGACATTTGAGTGTGTACTTTCTCGCGCCTTATATGTGTGTATGTGTGTGCGTATGTGTATGTGAGTAGCATGTCAGCGATGTAGAGTGTATGGCGATATGTATTCGCACGACAGCTGTCATGTAGTTATGAGTCGGCTCACGAAGTTCAGACACTTACTATATTTAGCCGTAAAGTTAGGGTTCCGGTCACGAGGGGTATACAGTCGGGGACGGCTCGAAGAACGTCAGTTCTTCGAGTCGAGCCTGGAAGCGTTGGGAGCGTAGAGTGACTTTCCCTTTTGCGTCGACCTGGATTCTCCGAGTGTGGAGTGGGTTGGGCTTGACTCATGTTTGTGACGGTGACGGTTTGTTGCCAGTAGGGTAATTGACCGACGGGAATTCCAGTGGGGAATCTCTCGTCTATTTCAGTTGTGACATTTGAGTGTGTACTTTCTCGCGCCTTATATGTGTGTATGTGTGTGCGTATGTGTATGTGAGTAGCATGTCAGCGATGTAGAGTGTATGGCGATATGTATTCGCACGACACAGTAGATGGAGCTTTCTTCAGTTTAGAGAAATTAACCTCACAATAAACTTGATCACTGCGACCTGGTTTAAGACAAAAGGGACGTGGAGGATCTGATTGTGGACTTTTTCCTACTCTCACCTTGGCTTGAGAATGGTTCATTCGAATGCAATGGAGCTGGGCAACCACATCCTCAGATTCCGAAGACGCCATCACAAAGATAACTTTCTTGTAGAGATTATTTAATCATATGTTCGAGAAGTTGTGTAAGGTTATGGTTGAAGTGTAATGTTCACATTAGTGCAGTGAAAACTACCTCGTTGTTCTCCAGCCGGTGGACCCAACGCATGATTAAAAGAACCAGATGGGGCTACATAAGTGAGTGCTAACAATATGGAATATACTGGATCCAAGGGGGTTCAAGACCCCTCTTATGAGGTGATACGCAAAGAGCGATGGCGAGTTGCGAAGTAAAACAGTGTACCTGACGAACTCTTTCTGTTGGATATCTCAGCCATTCATAGTATGTCACGTTACAATTCTTGGTAAAATCAATGAGACTTATGATTGGATGCAAGATGATCACCATCCACACAACCAATCCCTGAATTATAATGTCGGTCACTACCGTTTTAGTCTTCACGGTGCTCCCTCTTCTCGTGTGAACAAACAAACTCACGATATATTTTGACCGAGGAAAGGAATCTCGCTTGGTGTATGCTTGCGGACGGACTTCGATTTTGTTATTATTTTTGTTCGTTCTCTGTGGAATGCCGCGCGAACTCGAGCCCTTGTCTGTCACAAATTTTTCCATTGCTAACTAATGAAACTTCTCCCTCTCCGGAAAATTGAGAGGTATGAAAATCCTGATGCATTGCTTGTCAAGCTTCTAGCTCTTAGACAGACTGTCCATACAAAAGAGATTGTCGTTCTTGTGTGAAATTTCTATTCATGGATTTCCGGTAGTTCTGAGGTGCATGAAAGAAACTGGATTTCAAAGAGGAGTGCTGCAGTAATGAATTGCATTGTCCCATTTGTCCAAACTTGAGCTCCATTTAAGATGTGTTAGCGTACATCTTTGCTACTTTCTTAACAAACTTTCTTTCAAATTCTCACTCACTCTAAATGGAGGATGCGTTCATGAAACATTGATGGTGATGGATATTTTTTTGATGCTATTTACTAGTTTTGGTAATAATCTATAAACTTTTAATCTTCGTTACTTTTTGTAAATGTTTTGATCGTTTGAAATTACGAATTATGAAAAAAATTCGTACTTCCGAGAATCTTCCCACCGACAAAGTAATATTGCACTTAAATATGTTTAAAAAATATTTATTTACTATTTGACACTATCACAAAATTGCGAGTGAGTTGAATAATAATCATATTATCACTTATGAATGTCTAACATTGACAGTTGTTAATCCATATCAGCAAATAGTTGCTCCACATATGTGTCTCCCTTCTTTCTAAGGCAGCAAAATTAGATGTATATTCTCATCACAATGCCATAGGTGCTAGCATCTGGTGTTGTCTTTGTACCTTGTTGGGCCTGAATGAGTGTTGCCATCGTTCGTATCCATGCTGCCCGAGGTTTCAAAGATTCGCTGCTCGAGTTTGTTTGTGTGGTGATGGTACTTGTGTTGTTAGGACGAAAGATGCTTCTCCAAGACACGAGACAGCGTAGAATACATGTTCATGGAATCTCGCCATCGGAGGTTTCAGGTGACGGACGTAAAAGGTGCAACGGAGTTTGCAGCAGAGGCTGGGGCTTGGCTTAAGGCTACCGACCACGAATCGGTTGGAGGAGTCCCGGGAGTGGGGTCCGCGTCTGGGCCCTCTCCTCTCATTGTGCTCCCAGATCCCGTCAACTGCACATTTTTTTCGTGCAGAAGGGAACTGCATTCGGATGGTGCTGGTATTTGCTCTATCGATCTGTCGTCCCCCAATTGGAGTCTATTTATCGATAGCAGGACCAAGTGAATGGGGTTCTACGTATCACTGATTGATTGCATTTCTTTTGTTAAACTTGCTGCAACTCATGGCGCCCCATATTCAAGAAGGTGTCGCTCCAGCTAGGTCAGATGATGACGAGCTACCGTCACTGTCGCTTCTTGCCATTGTGATGAAATGAGAAGCCACCCGCTCGCTGTAGTCATGCGCCAAAACTCGGCTCATGACCAGATGATGTTGAGGTTTCACACTGGTAGTGCAGGTCTTCATGAGTGAGAAAGGAATACCGGCATCTATGCCATTCTCAGATGTTCTCCTTCTGGGTACTGGGGCGAAGTCAAGGTGGAAGTAGCCACTAGCGAATACTTCCTTTTGATTTGACGTTGGGGTAGTTTGAGAAGAGGTTGTGAGGCCAGCCGTGAATGTGGATGCGGATTGACCTTTGACTCAGATGTTCTCTTCTGCTTGGTGGTCGTCTGATTTGACCTCGGAATTGTATTCCATTGTAAGGTCCAGGCTTGTGATACTGTCTTGGTTGCTTTTTAAAATTAGACCAGTACTCCACCGGGCTGGTTCCGAATTTACTCCTCATGATTCTGCTGTCGCCTGTGGTAGACGACGAATTTTCCGTTACTCTGTTCTTCGCTTCGAAGCTGGATCCTTGAACTATAGGGTTTGAAGTTCCGTTTTTACTCCTCATGATTCTGCTGTTTTATTGCTGACTGAGGGATTTTCCATCAAGCCGATTTTCCCTTCGATGCTAGATCCCTGAACCACAAGGTTTACACTCGGTTCCAGCTGTTTGGTATCTTTCTGTCCGGCCCCCACACTGAAAAGAGTCAGGTATAAGTCAATGTAAGCCAGAAATTTGTTTAAGGCATCTAATTTCTTATGCAAATAGATTTGATATGATACATTATGTACAAAACTTCTGTATTTATTTATCTCTATGCTCACTGGCAACACAAAGCTGGCCGTAACCTGTAGGCCTTGAAATTTGAACTAGACTCAAAGCAACTTGGCTGAAGAAGATTTTTTTTCGTAAGTTGCTGCAAGTGCAGTCCAAGCTCACTTCAGATGTCGACTCCATCTGGCTACTGAAAGCCAAAAAGTGTTTATAGAAGAGAAAAACTCCCTCTACTAAAATACATTGGTAATGGCCGAAGGACAGACGACGCTCACCTCCACTTGCATACATGGCTCTAAGAGAATATGTGGATCTAAGAGGACTTTGCTTGGAGAACAAAAATAGGTTACATAAACCTCAATCCTTCTATTCCATCGTGGTACCTAAGTGTGATCGGCTGTACTAGTGGAAAATCCTGCCAGCTACAACAGATTTCAACTTTCCAGAATAAATAATCTTCTAAGTTTCAAGCCCAAAGCTTGACAGAAATTCGAGGCTATTAAAGCAAGAGACCTGTCCCACACATAGTTTGCTCGGATCAGTATCGGCAAATCGTGAGGGCTAATGTGGGCACACACCTTTCCCCGTTCAAGACCCTCCAATGCAGGGACTGCTTGGCGTTAACCACAAAATAAAACCCCGACTGATGGTCTCTCTGGTGTACAGCAATCTTTCCCGGGATGTGCCAGCTACCCCTTCGCTTAAAGAACCTGTAATGTACAGGCTAGACGCCTTGAGTAGCGGTGTGCTCTTAAAACCTTCATTTTCGTCCCACCCAGCTCCAACACCTTAAATGCTTCCATGGTCTAAGATGTCAGACTTGCGTGGGCTTGCCCTCAGGAAACTTACTTAGTTTCTTTTGCGTCCTTAGACTTTTCATCACCACTTTGCACGGAAACTTCATCACGAACGCCGCCGTTGGTTTTCTTCTCCTGAATGGGTAGCATTCCATTAGACGCTACTTTAGCAAATTTGTGGACACTTGCAGCAGCCTTCGCAGCCTTCTTCCCTTCGATGACACGTTCATAACTAAGAAAATCGGGCTGATTTGTAGAGGACAGAAGCCGCGCCCACATCCGGTCATTAACGTTAACTCGATTTTGTGTTTCCGTTGCGGCCTGCATAACGAGTAGGGTATGCACAGCAACATGAGCCAAGATGCGTGATATGTAGTTTGCATCGAATTGAGTTTAAAAATATGAATTGTAGATAATCAGCATATGACAACTTTTTGAGGACAGTGTACAGGACTTTACCAGAATAGGAATGTACGCGTGTCGACCATTGACAGGACCTACAGTGAAGCCAGTGAATCCTGCCATGGCCCCATGAATGGCACTATGTGCCAGGAGAGTACAGTAGACATTGTCGGAGGCATTGCTGGGAATGGCTCGAATCATGTAAGTAGGATCTAATATGTAAAACAAAAGAAGGGTATACACTTCAGTAACGTTAACATGAAGCAAGAAAACATGAAAAAGAACACATCGGCTGTGTTCCAATTGGTGATAGTTTCAAAAAAGTGATACAAGAACCCGTTGCAAGCCACATAAAGATCAAAACAACATCTTCATTTGTAATCAGTACGCTTCCTCTGCTTCGAGACAAATTTGAATTACAAAATTTTGTAGAAAGATAAGAGTAATTTGACGTACCGATGTATTTTAAAGTAAGAGGCTCATTTGCTTCAGCAAAATTTTCCTGTGAACACAAAGAATTCGTGCATTAGAATGACCAAAATAAGAACATACTTAATGATAGATCAAGACGGTAACAGTACCGTTCATATACACAATGGTTGACGTTGAAAAGAACAAGTCCACTAATAAATTCACAGGAAGTGTCTTACCTTCAAACTCTGACACAACCAGAGACCAACGTCTAGGAGTAGGCGATTTCCAGAAGCATCACTCTTGGTCGTTAGCGTGCTCTCAGCAATCAGCTCCTGACCGGCACCTTCGGCGACGACGATGACCATGTGACCGTTCTCTCTTAAACGCTTGCGTACGAACTCGTAAAGTCCTCCTGCCCCTTCCAGATAAAAGGGCACTTCAGGTATCAAGCAGCAATCCTAAATGGCACCATGGGACACCACAAAGTTACATAATATCGTTATCCAATACATACGACCTACGTGTTATTACTGAACAATCTAACATCCCACTAGATATAGCTATAACCCCATGACACCGGCATCAAACTCATGTTCCAGGTTGAGTGAGATCCACTTCACATACCACATCACGGCTGGCAAGAGTTGCGTACATAGCAATATAGCCTGCAAATCAATTCAAGTTGCCTTCGTCAGTCCGACACCTACTGAAACGATATCAGCTCATAATGATATCAAGCTTGCTCATTGTTTGTACATACATAAAAAAAGAATGCCAAACAGCTATAGAGAGGACTCTTGAAGCCATGTTTCAAAAAGCAAGCTCCTTACCACTATAACGACCCATTAGCTTGACAAGACCCACGCCATTTTTCACGCTCTCAGCTTCCACATGAGCGGCATTGATTGCCCTCTGAGCCTCTTCAACAGCAGTATCAAAACCGAAGGATTTGTCGATAATCTGATAAAAAAATTCCCGTTGTCATATTGATAAAATAATAAGATTGCTCTGGATTGAGAGATACTGGGAAACATGCTAGGCCACGAGCTTGTTGAATAGACGAACTCCTATCTTTCACTTTGAGAAGTGGATTGCAAGATTCAGTTGACATGAATGTCGAAGGAACCTACAGCAATGTCATTGTCAATCGTCTTTGGAATTCCAGCGACAACCACTTTCACTCCCCGCCTTTTGAGTTCCTGCATATCAATCAAACAAATGATCAGCCACAAAATTCGGAATATATACATGAAGACCTACATGACATGAAAGTTATTAGGCTCTTGACACGAGGCTTGATACCAGATGATGCTGAAGTTCCAAACAACTATTAAACTACTGCCTTGTGATCAGCACTAGCGTGGAACGGAAAACTGAAAATGGCATACCTCATAAATAACAGCAGCACCTCTCTGAGTGCCATCACCTCCGATGATGTAAACCTTCACGAGTACAGATAGCAAGGGAAATTAACTTAGATCGAAATCTTAGTATCACTTCGACGAAAAATTACTTACTACTTTATTGAATCAGCTTGAACACAAGAGAAAAGATGAACGATAAGGTCGAATTTCGAAAACAAACTCAATAGACAGACAATTTTTCATAATACATGACGTCGAATACGATAGGCACAAATAGTACCTGATTGATGCCGCGATCCTGAATTGCTGCAACAATTTTGGTTTTGTCATGTCCTCCTCGGGATGTACCAAGTATTGTCCCACCTCTCTTGTGAATGTCATTCACTAATTTTGGAGTCAGCTGGATGGTATTATTTGAATAGAACCCGGCGTAACCACCCTATTTTGATAAAAACAGTGAAAGGTCAAACTTTCAGAACGCAGAGCAAGAAAGAAGATGAGGCTTTAATACTATACCAAAAGACAGGCAAACTTAAAAGTGTATTTCTGGAACTAAGACACGAAAATTGTCGTCGTTATTGAGCGAGAGAGACTAGGCATCACCGAAGACTTACATCTATCCCAAGAATGTCTCGAACTCCATACTGGGTCCACAAACCACAAACAATTTCACGGATGACAGTGTTTAATCCAGGACAAAGTCCTCCACATGTCACGATGCATGCCCGCACCTCATCCGGTTTGAAGTAGACCTGAATCAATGACCAAAAAAATGCACAGCATGCCATTGCTCTCAGAGGCGGTTTGTTTTTACGTCGTCAATTTTATTGGAGCAAAATTGGGACAAACCGCGAAGCGGTACAATCAGATCGTGTACCCTTGTCAACAGAAAAATCCGTAGCCGATAACTGCACAAGCTCCACAAGAGCCAACTGCAACAGCAATACTGATTCAAAGTAGTCGCAGAAAAATTCTACAGAAAGAAAATTGTGATTCCATACCTTTTGGCGGGGACCCGCCCTGCGAAAGTGAGTTCCTTCGCCTGGTGTTCTGAGTTTTACAACCACCTGCAAAGATAGAAAACCTGTAGACCTCAGAAACTGAAAACTTTAGTTTCTGCACGCCTCAATACTTTAACAACGATGTGATCAGACTTTACAGTAAACTTGACACTAAACCCTAAAGTTTTGGGGCTTGGATTTAATAGTTTAGTACAACCATACCATAGATAGACAGAGCACATATCCAGATTACATGTAACATCTAGTAGTGGAGTTCGAACACTCACATTCTTGGCAACAACGTCATCTTCCTCTACGAAATATTGCCTGCACCCAAAAAAGACCTTTCAACTCAGGAAATAGAGAAGACCCACACGCCTGAACCAAAGGGACAGTATTTTAATTGTCCAATACAGCACTCGCGTCGAAGATTGAGCGAAATTCAATCGAAGATCCGAGAAATAGTAAAACTCGAAGTAGCGTCTTCTCACAAGGACAAAATCGTACTTTCAAGGCCTAACGTAGATTCTTACTTGACTGCCGTGTAGGCGGGATTGTCTTGTAAAGGATTGGGAAAGCTCTGCGCACACAGCTTAAAACGTCAGGCATCTACGACATCATATGAGCAGAATCTGATTCCATCGACTCACGATTCTTAGAATGTGTGTGAAGAGCACAAACTGACTCGTCCATCCCAAATGCGGCTGTGTTTCAAATGAATGATGATTTTGATCGACAGGTACCTCTCATACTTGTCGTGCATTTCAACGAGTAGAAAAAATTGCAGACAATATGGGTGGAACAAGCGCTTCGTCGCGATTCAGAATTTTAAAACAAAGACAAATATTAAGAATCACCGCCTCACAGAATCTACGCTTCCAAAACAGAACCTGCGAGTACTTACGGGCAAATCAGGGAGCCAATCGGTGACATGTGGTACATCTTCCAGAACTGCCTCGTCTGTAGCCTGTGCCCGGCTGCACGCTCGGTGCACAGTCCGTCTCGTCAATGCCATTCTCCTGGTCTGAAACCCCAAAGAGCTCCCCCAGAATCCGCCACGACCAGGGCCCAGAAGAACCTGACGCTGCAATCTCGCGGTCCTAGAACGGCCGTCGCACGAAACCGCGACCGCGCAATTGATCTGGGTCACATTCGTGATCTGTGACAAGGGCTGCTCGCGCGCGCATCTGTGCTGCTGAAGCCCACACCTCTCGGCCTCCGTGAAATTTGGAACACGACTGAGAGTGGAGGCAATGGCCGAGCTCAGGGAAGCCATTATAACGATCAGATCGATCCGGCACGACCGATCGGTGGGGAGAGTAAACTACAGGCGCACCCAGACGCCAGCAAACTCGATACGATGTCGCCCAAAATGACAAACACTGGATTGCACGCCAAGGAAACCTCTGCTCTGCTCTGCACTCTCTCTCTCTCTATCTCTGTCTCTGTCTCTCCTCTGCTCACACAACAACTCACTCCCTCCGTGACCGGAGACGAAATCAAAAGACTGCACTGCTGTCGATAGGGCGAAGGGTCCTATGCTGGAGAAATGCAGCACCCGAGGATCTTAAACCTCCGAGCCTGGACATAAACTAATGGTCAAAATTCCAGACGAACACGAAGGAAGAGCCCGGAGCGACTCCGCCCTCCTGCTGCGCTTCCCTGCCCTGCCCTTCGCCCTTCGCTCCTCTTTCTTCCGCCTTTCGGGCCGAAGAACGAGAAGCTGGTGAAGGAGAAGCGAAACCTCCAAACCCGGAGCTGGCTGGCTGGAGTACACTCCTGCTACGATTCGCTTCCGTATAGCACGCGTCTACGCTGCGGTCTGGGAAAGGCCGGGACGGGACGCGACTTGGCGAACCAGAACTGCCGTGGCGGCGCGGCCATCCCTTTGCCGTAGGAGCGACGGAGGGAGGTTCTGGATGCGCCGGACAGAAAGCATGCGACGCAGCGACTGTGACTGCAGACGGCACTGACTCTCTGACGCTCTCACGCTCCCTCTGGCTCTGCCTCCGTGCGTCCGCTGCGTGGGACAGAGGCCACCACGGAAGAAGAGAAGACGGCCGAGTCCGGATCTTCTTCACCTGGTTGCGACGTCTACGCAGTCGGTAGAGTTCGGACGTCCCCAAACGTCTTGGTCCAGGTCCGGGTCCTTGGTCCATGCGTTTTCAACAGAGGGCGTAAACGCGCAAGGCATCGAAGTCGGATATCCGCTGGCAATCCTTTGGCAGCAGCCTCGTCGTCTTGGGCAAGGCCGCGTTCTCAGGACCGCCGCTCGCTTCTCCTGCAGAGATCTCTTGCCGTACCTTTGTACAGAAGAACAGTACCGTCCGTGGCCTGCGTCCCCAGCGGGAAGGCTCGGAACCCGGAGCGTCCCGGCCCTGGCACCCCGAATCCCCGAGCCTCCCCGTGTCCCCTGCCCAGGGCCTCCATCTCACGGGCACTCATGCAGTCCGAGCGAGAGCATCGAGGCGCTCTCGGCCCCCACCTTCCGTCTCGTGCTCCGAGGCGCCGGCGAACTTTCGGGTCACGACCCAGCCCGGGGAAGTTCAACGTACTATTCCAGATGATTGACGACTGGGGGCAGGCGAAAAAGTTCACATTTGCTTGTGATTCCGATGGAGGGCCAGTGAGCGCATAAGTACTCGACGCCCGCTCTCGTTTCGACAGCGGTGGTGGTGGATAGCGAGTGAGTGCTGTAGTTTGTTGCGTGGAGTGTTGCGAGCTCGATCAGTTTGCGAGTTTGTTGGTACGGGCTGCGGCCGTGGCTGGGTCCGGCGAGAAGGTAAGCTTAAATTATTGCGCCGAGGGGAGAAGACGAGAGTAGAGGAGAGGAGAGGAGAGGTGTGATTTGGCGCCATGGGGGTGGTGTTCATCGACGGCAGCACGGTGCGGGACTTCGTGAAGGATGAGGCGGCCTTCTTCAGGGCCGTGGATCCGCTGTTCAAAGCGCTGGACGTGAACAATGACGGAGTGCTGTCACGCTCCGAGCTGAGGCCTGCTTTCGAGAGCTTGAACCTGATCGAGAGTCATTTGGGCGTGCCCGACAAGAAGACTCCCGACGAGCTCATGGCCATCTACGACAGCGTGTTCGAGAAATTCGACACCGACCACAACGAGACGGTGGACCACGCCGAGTTCCGCGAGCAGATCAAGCAGATCCTGCTGGCGGTGGCCGACGGCTTGGGCGAGTCGCCTCTCAACATGGTCGTCGACGACGACAGTCTGCTCGCCAGGGCCGTGGAGCGCGAGCAGCAAGAGATTCAGCAGAGCCGCAAGGCTTAGCCTCCGGAACCTTCTTTTTTTTCTCTCGAGTGTTAGCTGCTCTGGCCCTCGGTTCTTTTTGCAGGATGCAAGTCCCTTGGCCTCTCTCCCGTGGTGCACACTGTCTTAGGCTCTGAGTGCGTGCCACATTCCCCGTCTTACTCTCTGAGTATTGATCGGTTCAGTGCTCGGCGCTGGCTTCAGTATGCGGCCGGAATCGAGAGGAGAATTAGGAGACTTGGTCAAGAAGCCTCAATCTTTCCGCACTCGCTTGCTGAGTGCGACCCCGAAAGATAGTGTGCATATTTTTGTATGTAATTTGTATATAATGGATATTTAAATTGGCGTGACGGTGCACAAGCTGCCGCCCAATGCTTTACAGATACTACCAGCTGTTCCTTTTAGGCCATTTCTCAAAGTCTCTCAAAGTGTCATTGGCGGGTCTGATGATAGCTTAATTTCATGCTTTTTTAATCGTACGAAGTAAGGACATTCATAAGATCGTTATTTCGTACAGATCGATGCGAACGTGGATGAAATTTCGATAGAAGGGTGATCAGAACTGCCGGTGATTACTAGGAAGTTTGTTTTTTTAATGTCATTGAGATTCATGGCATCGATTGAGGTGGTCCACAGACCAATCTGTTGCTTGTATAAACCCATGGACAGCGATCACCGTCTCTGTTCGTCTTCTCACGTTTCTTCTTCCATTGTCGGATGAAAGGGTGGACTCTCTACCTGTTGCCAGTGCTCAGCGCTGTTGTCCTGCTCTGACACGATGGAGAGCGGCACGACGCGTGTTGATGTTGCACTCTTTTTTCCATTACACACCTTCCTCGAAGATGTGATGTGATGTGTAACGTAGTGTAGTGCACAGGCTGGGCAGTTTTTGTTGCACGATTGCTTGAACCCCATTCGAAACCAAAGCAAGTTTCAGCAGTTCAGCTCAGTAGAGTGGGTGCTCCGCTCTACCCTCTCGTCGATTGATGTCCTTGTGAAGCCCAATGGTGGAAAAGAGGAAAAGTCAATCGACACTTCATGCGAGCTCTCCAGCCCAGTGCCAAGACGCTATTGAGCAGGCCATTGCGCCATTTCCTCTTCGATGTTGCAATTTACTAGTTTCGTATTTTAACACTAGTTCAATTCCTGGGACATATCTATCCTCAGGATAATAGATGGACCTGACTACTGGTTTCTATTTGTTTCCTTCCTTGTGGAGCTTGTTGTTGGCCCCTACCGTTTGTTGTATTTTCTATTTAAACAAAAGACATTCAACTTTATTTAGATTCCTCATCTATACAAAGCGCGCACGTGGATTCGTCCACGTGTCTATTGTCTTTGTTCGATGAGTAGATGTGATTATCTCTTCATCCAACAGGGTTGCAGCACGGTGGTTGTGCTTATGAAAGACTTCCATTCTCCAAAGAACTCTACAAAAGTAAAGCTGAAGGAAAGAATGTGAATGTAATATCGGCTTCATCATCCATCGCAGTCGTCGTAAGTGGAGAATACGGATCTTAAATTCCAGCAGATGAAAGATCGTGTAAGCAGTCGAGTGTTTGTAGTTTGCGGGTTGGAGTGACGGTTGAATGTGGCTCTAAGCCATTCCGCCGAAGACACTCTACTATTGAGTCAATTCAGTTGGTTTTGTCTTACAGAAAAGCTGCTGGTGAAAGTGTGAAGCACTATAATTACTTCCCAACTTACATTCCAATACGCTCTGAGACTTTGTGGGGTCGCTTTCACTTTCCCCGAAAACTTTATCAACTCCAAGCTTGTATTGTCAACAGGAATTCAACCCAATAAACCGCATATCTTGCCATGACTCTACTGGTCGTATGATGCTTTGCCACATACAAGGAAAGTCAAGTTTACAGTTGTCTCGTGCTAGCTCACTAGGTTCATACCTAGTGAGCTAGCACGAGTTGGAACATTATAGCAGTGTCGTTGCACGCATGGTCGGTCCATAGGTCCTAGATCAATTTCATCTCTAATTTGATCAAAGGATGCGAACTTCAGTCCTCTAGACAAAAAGCAACTGTCCAGAGCTGGACAATCCGTTATGTACACACACATATTCAATATTTTTATCTATCTATTTATTATACATAGTTATTACCACCGAGGACTTATATCTAGGGTGTGAATATTCAGATAGCCAAGGTGGGAAGAAACTAAGCAGTTTATTCACATGGTGATCGTCGGCATCCATCATCTTCGGCGGCCATACATAACTTCGGATTGTGCTGTATAGACATAACGCCCCGCTTCAGAATAAAATCCAAGATCAGTGGCCTCTCTCGTCCTTGCCAGTGCAAATGACGCATTGGATACGTCACTAGGCTGGTCAGTGGTCCCATATTGAATTTCTCTTTGTGGATTCTATGTCCTTACTCTAGGAACGAGCACTATAGCAACGTCATGAAGCTCCGAACGCGGTTTGCATGCACTCGAAGCTCCTGGATACGGCTATAAACAATTCAACCTCCGGTTTCCCTGCGACAGAACAGTACGGGCACATCTCGACGAAGATCATTAGGAGCTCTGAACTTGGTAAAACTCGGTAAGTTGCATATCCACGAACCAATGAAAAGATTGTAGTATCAGCCTCGACAACAGTTCTGAGGTTTGTGTGCAGAAAGTCTTGATTCCGATGATACTTGAAGTGGTTTATGCTTCCCCCTCGGGCTTCCATCGTGTGCCCCTTTGCATGCGTAGATGAGGTTATTACTCGCTATTCGCGAATGAATCCAAAGCACCTCATCTGCCTTCGTTACTGTAACTGGTGAAATTCTCTTCTGGAATGATTCTACTATTGTCAGACTTACCACGCCCAAATCAATGAGCAAAGCATTTCAATGGACTTGCATACTTTCTGTTGCACCTTGCCTTACCCTGTCCTCCAGCATATATCAGCAGATCTCCACATGCTCAGTTCAACTACTGCACAGTTTCGAGCTTCAGATATGAACGTCTGGGTTCACATCAATCAGAAACCCCACGGATCTGCCAAGTCCCAATCAACAAACCATTACAAGACGAAACTGGTGAGCGCATTTCAGCACCATCTCACGAAAGGGACAAGGGAGTATCTACAAAGAACATCCTCGTGCGTGCATATCGAGAAACCCCGCTCATTGACAACTTCTACCGTATAGTCTGCAGATTCGTATGCTCTTAATGGAACGTGACGTACAGGAAGTAAGTTACTTCATTAAGATGATCCTGTGACAAGACAGCCACATTCGTTTTGCTGTAGAACTGTGCTGTTTAGTTCAGTCTTAAATATCCCGATCTTGTGTAGGAGTGAAGGCCGGTCAGATCATTAGGTTAATCATCACCTCGTTCAGAGGTCGACTCAGCACAGCACCCACTTGTACCCTAGCAACCGCTGTGCAGAACTAAGTCCAGTCACGGAGTGCCCACCGCAAGAAAATGAGTAGTTTTAAGCATTGCTCCGATCACTCCCATACTGTAGCAAGCCATGTCGTGATTTCCAAAGAATTGCGCTGCACGAGAGTGACGCCTCATAGGACGAGGCATCTGACACTTGGGTGCTACTCGGGAGGAAGGGAACTGCAGCATCACAGTAAGTAACAGCTGCATAATGTTCTCCTTACTCAGCAGGGAGGGAGCAGAACCAGTACTCCCACTCTGATGACCCTGCGGAGCATGTCGGCAGGGCTCTGCAGTAATGTAATGCCCCATATTCAAGCATTCGTAATCTCCACCAGTCTACTCACGAATGAAGGAAGCCGCCCTTGCTGTGCCTTGAGTTCACATGACTCTTTATCCAGTATCCATCTCTCCCTTTCCTCGAAGGATTGTGTATGGTACAGTGAGCTTCATTGCTCGTAACTTCACATTCGTATGTTGGGGAGCTGGCTGTTGTAGTCAGTGCAAATTGGCAGGTCTAGCAGCGATGGTCAGACTCTCGTAGACTCGCACTCTTTATCATTTCACTTAACATGCGGTGCTTAGGTTGAAACAGCTTTACCGGCCGATTTATCATCACCGGTGCTGATTGTCACTTATTAGGCTAGTAGAAGCAAGATATTCTGATTGTACCTGATGTAAGTTAAACTTCTTTGTTCGTAGAGTCAGATTGGTTCAACTTGAGCTAGAAAAATACAATATTTTCAACTACAAGAGATAAGTGACTGTTGCGTCGGAGCTCCGTGGTAGCTTGTAGTTAGATTTTTGGACTTTGTGCTGGATTTTTGATCTACTGGAGTGCATCGGTCTGCAACACTACTGAAGCTATGAATTCCCTCTTCTCATTATATATCACGTGAGAAAAAAAATCCACTTCTCTGACAGTGAAAATCTCGCAATTCGGAAGCTTTTGCATCCAATTTTCTCAAATCATCTGTCGGCGGTATAGAACATGTTCAAATGTGGAGACGTCACATGTGACTTAATCTTCTCTAACACATTAACATCTGACGTGTGTCACATGCAGACCTGACATGTGACTGTCCAGCATAATCTTCCCAGAACATTTACTTGAATACTATTATGAGAATTATTTGGCATGCTGTAGATCTTATTTTGATATGACTTACTTCCGAATATGTTCATTTCTGAATAACTTCACTCATACATTTCGCTAGATGGTACCGGGCTGCAATCGGAATAAGTGTATGGTCGTATGTTGTGACTGTCTAAAAACACAGACATCATTCTCGTCTTGTCCATGACCATGATGTAAAATGGCAAATGACAGAAAGACAACATGGTCTGTCGTTTGCCACATGTACTCCTACGGTCCGGAGCAGATACAAGTTTCCAGATCAACTTCATTCGCAGTATGTTCTTAAGTGAACGGAATGTCTCGAATGAGTGCGTAAGAAGATTTTTCAAGATATTCTTGTGTACTCTTCTCATACATGAAGACCAACACAAAAGAGAAAACGAAAAGTAGTGAGTGTAAGAAGATTGTTAAAGATAATCTTCTACTCTTCTCATACACGAAGACCAAGACGAGAGAAAACGCAAAGTAGTCGAGTCAACACCGGCTCCTGAGATCACTGCAACTCGTCACTAAACATTGCTGAACATTTCTGTACAACAAGAATCACATGTTTGATGTGTTTGTCGCTATGATACAAAATTGGGGGTGCCCCATCTATCTTCAGGGTACCACTTCACTACTACTTGAACGAATTACCTACTCAGGGCACCCATCCATCAACAGCTGTTCTGGAGCAAAGATACAACTAACCTACCCTTTCTTACAAATGAGATTTTATGTCCTAAACTTAGCCTCCGAAAATACCAGTGTACATGTACTGGACTCTCTTTGCCCTGCATCTAAGTAGCCCAAGAAAGCTGACATCGTTAACCATAGCAGTCTAAGAATCTACATGCCCCCACCATCTTCTTAAATTGGAGAATATTGAGGCCGTTTTCTGCCAGTTATTGTTGCACAGCCGTTTGGACGTGTTCTTCGGCAATCTGAACAGCACCTGAATGGACAACAGGGTAAAGCTCATTTTGTAAGTCGCTACCTGGAGTAGTCAGAATTCAGTTGTAAGAAGACACTTGGTTGTTATGACACAAACATTGCGAGACCTGAACCGCCAATCAAGTTGACTGTAAGGCAAGAACTGGACTTAACTTCCAGTTTTGCCCTTCCAAAATATTCTTCTTCTACCACTACAGAGTTAAACCTCCCAATAGTGTCACCTCTTATGAGTGACATCCTCTCATTAGTGACGTTAAATCCCAGAACCATTGGTTTCTAACTTGTAAATCTGCCCAATAAGAACGGTGAGTCACTATTCCCAATAGTGACATGATACTATACAATAGTGACAATTTCAAGTGTAATTTCATAGTAAAAATTCCTATCATTGCCACAATACATAGTTGTGAGACTAAAAAAATGTGTCATAAGTATATTTAAAGGTATATCTCAATAATTCACACTTTCTGGATTTAAGTAAGGATTTAGGGTTTAACCCTAAACCCATATTTGCTACATATATTTTCATTAATTGTTTCACTCAGATTTGTGTGTATTGATCTAAATTTAAATGTAATAATTATGTCCATGTTAACAATACAGATGTGCAAATGAAGGCCATTTTGAAACCAAACAACACATTTATAGAAAGTCTTAGATTTGATGCAATGCACGATAAGAAATCTATGAATTTTTTTATATATAATTGACATCTCCCAATAGTGACATCTAGCCTCAACACCAATGTATGTTACTATTAGGAGGTTATATGCACTTTACTCTTGTGAGTGACACCTCGCAATAGTGAGGTAAAACCCAAGTACCAATATATGTCACTATTGGGAGGTTTAACTCTGTACCTTGAGTTGTAGGATTCGTTTGAGCAGCTTCTGCACTTGCCAGTGTCGAGGCTACTACTGCGGTGGCTGGCAACGCTGCAGAGAGAGATTTTTTACTTTTGATCATCAGTAAAAATTTTACGCACGCATGAAATTGTTCGCAACGACGATACAAAACTTAAAATTGGAGATTCCAAGACGCTATACCTGAAGCTGGCGCCACCGTTGGCACTACTCCTGAAATTGCGGGGGCTCCTTGCTGCGCACACAAAGATTGACGTGCATGAGCTTCTGCTATCACGACCACCGTCCAAGAACGCTGATCTCAAAGCTCTTGGTTTACGTGATCAAAGGTGAAACAAAGTAGAGGTGTGAACTAGCGATGTCTTCGTCTTTGTAAGATGCCCTTATTTACTTCAGAGTGAATCTTCATTGATGTCAAGCATGACATGACCAGGACGGATTATCTGGTCCGTATAACAGTCAGTATTAAACACTCATGACAAAGAACTATTTAACACTTACATTAGCTGCAACAATCGCATTAGCTGCAGCCACCGCTTCAGCTGCTCGTTTCACCATTAGTTTTGCTTGTCGTGCCTGTCTCCGCTCAGCTCTTCTAGCTTCCCTAATTTTTGCCTCTTCCGCTTCTTCGTTTACCTTCTTCCTGAAATCGAGAAAAACGGGGTTTCCATGAGCTCTTAATTAAAATTCAAACTAAATATGGAGATGACATGCATACTGGATGGACGAGTATCTGACTTTACCTACTACTTCTAAAACGTAAGGGCCATCGAGAATATCACGCCTTCCCACGTTGACTGACACGTACAAGCTACAGAGCGAAACCCAGCTTGTACACTGAAAATGAACTCTGAGCCTAAATTTAAAGAGCAAGTGTCTACATACTCATGTTGTCTGTAGGCAATTCCACAATTCCTACGAAGTCCAAGAACATAAAGCGGCGGTCCACTATTACGTGCTGTGTACCTAAAACTACCGCAATGTTGTGTGGGACAAAAGTTGCGGCAGTCCACTAAAGAAAGCAACTGATGAAGTGCAGACAACCAAATTATTAAGATAGATAATCAGTACTTACTTTGTAAGATGGTTATGTACAGCACTATAATAGCCAGGTTTGTAGGAAAACAATAGCCCCCGCAATTGCTTCCCGTCGATATTCGTCTCAACACTGTAGCCGTAGTGAAATACGTCGGTAACCTTCGCTTCAAATGACTTATCGATCATAGGTTTGAAGTCCTGGAATGCCATCTTACTCATAGCTCCTGCATTTTTCATTTGTGGACCTTCAAAATTAGTAACTATGACCATCAAGAGGCTTAGTATACTTCTCACCACTGGAGAATTAAGATGAGGCACAGAATTCCCTGAATGCTGTCGAAGTCACTACAGTACGCACTCGTTTATGCACACATCCCGGATAACTACGCAATTTTTTCCCAAAAAAACACGGGTCAAGTTTAGGGTTTATAATGTAAACCCTAAACATCCGTGTAAATTTTACACGGATTTTCCATGTGAGCACGGTAGGAGGGTAAGAGGCAATAGTATTAAGCAGCGTTCAACAGAACGTATTCCGGTTTCCTTTCAACAGATTATCTGGTGCCCAATTGCCACGACATGAATCTGATTCGTATAGATTGGTAAGGTGTTGTAACCAGCGGTGCTTGCCCCTCGTGCAGGACCCCAGGGGCATAGAAGAAGACGACACAAATTCGGGTTTCTGCTCCCATTACTAAACTTGTTTACAAGTTCAGTAAACAAAACCTTTTTAAAGAAAGGTTTTGTTTTAGTCCTAGCCCTGATACAAAAGCCCATGTCCATGGGCGGTTGACCGCAGGGATTAGAAGCTTGGCATTAAGAAATGTCGATCCTCATACGACTGCGGATCACTCCAAAGAAACAATTACAGTTCGCGACTTTCCTGTCGAACCTTTACTTCGTGTCTGTATAAATTTTTTACCACAAACAATTTCCATAACTAATTTCACAGTCTTTGTGAAATTTGAGGGTGTCTTTGCAACTAATATTATTTACACAATCTCGTAATGTTTAGTTCAACATGTCATGAATTGCAGTCTGACCTTTCAACAAAGACAACTCTAAAGACAATAATAGAAAATTAAAACCCCTTCGGAACTTGTTTTCTCTGCTCCTCTGCTCTGTACTTGGAGGTGGGGTAGTTTCGTGATGCAAAGGGTAACTCACTGGACTCCAGGAATATATTTGCTTCACTGACTTCGGTATAAGAGAACAAACTTTAAAGGTTGAGCTCTTTCAACGATGGGAAAAATACAAAGTCTATGGAAGCGAAATCTGTTGGAAGGCATAGTCCTGGACGCGCAAGTTGAAACTAGACCCTCATTCTCCCACATCAGACTTCAGATTTCAAAGTTAAAGTCCGGACCTTGCTATGAAAGTACCTGTTTGTTATGTACGCACCTCCCGGTTAAGTACGCAAAATCTTCCTGGGATCAATTTGCGTACTTAACCGGGAGATTACTGTACACAAAGACTATTCTCAATTATCTCCATAAGATAGTCCATGGGAACCGAATAATCAGTAATACAAAAGCACCACCATACAACTACTCACTAGCAGCATCGAAAAGAGAAAAACCATGCTCTAGAGTCTTGTTGATTGGCTTGGCAATGTGTAAAGTATCTTTTTCCGGAACTCACCGGTGGGTGTGGACGTCAATGTTGATCTGAAGGAGTCGTCCAAAACTATCCCTTCTTTCCCTTTCTCTGGCGTCATGAACTGTTCCTGCTGTTTTCTCTTCAGTTCTTTTCTCAAAGATAGCTTTTCAGGCTTAGGATCACCGTGACTTACTTCCACCTTCATATCTGCGCAATTTAATACCAACTCAGTCTTTAAACCGTGCGTCCACGGCGGGAAATCAGACCAGCAAACAAAGTAAACCAATAACTAGGCAGTGTCCTTCCTAAAAAAACAAATGCACCTCTATGATAGAACGTACCACTCAAAAAGCTAGGATCCGACAGCGGCAGAGAGGCTATAGAGAGAAAACTTTTCTATGAAGAAGTTGACAGACCATGAGTCTATGTGCGATTTATTAGAATGATCCGATAGGGAAACAGTAGGTGTGGGTCCATCCAGAGAGAAAAACACAACCTTTCCAAAGTGTATACAAAAAGCATGAACAATAAAGATGAATCAGGAAACCCGAGAATTTATGTGGCTTGGTCAGCGGCAGAGAGGCTATAGAGAGAAAACTTTTCTATGAAGAAGTTGACAGACCATGAGTCTATGTGCGATTTATTAGAATGATCCGATAGGGAAACAGTAGGTGTGGGTCCATCCAGAGAGAAAAACACAACCTTTCCAAAGTGTATACAAAAAGCATGAACAATAAAGATGAATCAGGAAACCCGAGAATTTATGTGGCTTGGTCAGAATGTGAACAGGTCCGAGAATGATTGCGACTAACTTCAATGAGGTAGGTTAGAACATCATAACATGAAATCTAAAAATTAACAGTTGTCTTTCAGTTCAACCATTTCAATCTGAGTCCAAAGGCAGGTCTGCACTAGTAAAACTTTGAATATAAAATTGTCCTCAACAAACCACCTAGTTAGCAAACGCAACTGCGAAAGCGGCACTAAGTTATCCAGAGAGTAAAGCAAAGACAGCAAGCTGAGTACCCATCATCGAAAAACACATAGAACCCATTAGCTAATCAAGAAATGCAGGAAACGGAGCAAGATCAACTATGTTAGTATCTCTGTGAATGAGAAGATGGACCGCATTAGGAATATTCTTGATAGAACGCACTTCATTACCAAGATAGCTCGAACATAGCAAAACTGCAGTGCTCTAGTTAAGCACAAGGATACACCTGAGCCTATCACAAAGTCACAGCTGGTGTTCATCATGGATACGGACATTTGCAAAACAACTAGGGCCTTTAAAATGTATGTAAGCAAGGACATTTATACCAGTTCGTTGTAACAGTCGGTAAAAGAATAATCATATACTCCAACAGCGCCCGATTGTGATTATAAAAAAGGAGTAGTAAAATTGAAACAAGTGGACAGGCGCATTCATTGATGAGACGTAGCAGTTTAAGTATGGTACACAACATCCGTGATACATTTGTTAACGACTGCATGAGAAAATACTTCGTCATCAGGAAATAGTTTGGTTCAAGCCAAGAAATACATCATGCTAATGTCAGGAGACAGTAAGTTTACCAGTGCCAGTATAGCACTACAATTTTCTCAAAACAATGCGGGAATCAAAAAGCTTGTTAGCTTGGCCCTTAGAAACGGGACAGAGGTGGTGGATAGCGTTTAAGAGAAGTTTTGTAAGTCGTGGTACCCTTAAAACAGTGCAGGATAACACGACGTACAAAACATCTCTTGTACAGAAAATCAACGACAAATTAAAGCGGGGATTGCAACATACTGCAAATTCCCGAAGATAGAAAAGGATCTATCTGGAGGACCCGTCGGTCTAAACGTTCGTCAAAATTCGTCAAAATTTGAAAAAATTTGAGAAAAATCTCGCGCTCGACGTACGCGGGATGCCTAAAACGCCATTATTTACGAAAGGTTAGTATAGACGTTCAAAACATCTCTTGTACAGAAAATCAACGACAAATTAAAGTGGGGATTGCAACATACTGCAAATTCCCGAAGATAGAAAAGGATCTATCTGGAGGACCCGTCGGTCTAAACGTTCGTCAAAATTCATCAATATTTGAAGAAAATCTCGCGCTCGATGTACGCGGACTGCCGAAAACGCCATTATTTACCGAAAGGTTAGTATAGACGTTCGATCCCCAATACAAGCACTACGGACTATTGTTGAGTCATTACACACGTTCCCTTATAAACGTTCACAAGGATTCAGAGTGAATCAGTAAATAAATAACACATTTAGGGTTTCAACTTCAATCGATATAATGTAACTGCAAGCCCTGATACAAATTCAAGCCAGGTAAGCTCTTTGATAAGACCGACCAAGTTGGTTCATCAACACCTTGAAACTTGTAAATCAATCATAACGTTCGGACACCTAATTACACTAAGACGGAAAACATTCACGATAACCAAATAATCCTTCACAATAGCAAAACATGCTGTAAAGAGAGTGGAAGGAAGTTAGCTTGTTTGACTGCAAGATATCAGGTCAGATGTGTATACACATCTGAAAGTGATATCAGTAGTGAAGAAAACTCGCAAAGAGAGAATGCGAAGTCTCCACAGTCAAAGGAATACTGGCAAAGTGCAAAAGAGAGCGTTAGAAATCAGTGTGGGCGCGGATAGTGTATATCCTGAGGAGTACCGACACATCAGTCCAGAAAACGCAATTCACGCACACTAGATAGTTGAGTAACCATTTTTTCAAACTGAAAACATTCTTACATGCGAGTTTTGATGGATGAAGTCTATCTTTTCAAAAACTTTGTACATTTAGTTCTCTTCAGCTCTTGAAACTCATAATATACTGCTTTTTAGAGAGTGGGTGAGAATACCGAGTATTCCCTTTGATTTACAGAATATATACTGGTTTCCACGACCTTAGTACATTAAAAAGGTTTCAGGCTCTGAGAGAAATAGTACTGCTAGCTACGAAGTCTGTAATTATATTCAGTGTTCATCTTGATCTTTACGAACAGAAACTGGTATCCGCAGATTTGTACATTACAAAAACTTAAATTCCGAATGACGTAATACTTCTAGGTAGAAATTCCGTGACTATACGATATACAGAACAAAAACTGGTGCTTGAGAACCACTCCATTGTCTTGTGAAGGCATAACCCTCAACTCATAACCATGCCACAGCGCTCCCTAAGAACTTGAAAAGTTGACCATGCTCCTTGTCAAGGACATTCAAGACTACCTGTGTCTAGGTAATACATGTCTTCGAGAGCTTCTAGATTCTCGTTGCACCCTCCAAGGAACAAAAGAATGCCTTTCTCTGGGTCTGCACAATCTCCTGCGAGAGAAAATCGTGGAGACGGCCCTTCACCAGTTGTGGTGGCTTTGGTCCATACACCGGATTCTGCAATACGCATTGATTTGAAAGATTGAGTCAGCTTATCACACAAACTCTTGATTTAACCTGGTTGTATTGAACTATGATATGCGTGTGCTTCTCAATGAGATACCGATTCTATACAGAAATCGAACTCGTTCAATATCTTACTAAACAAAAAAACGCCGCCTTCGCCCCAGATCCAAGTGGGAGATATCGGCAAGGTTCTGATGTACCAATTCTAAACATAGACGGACGTCATACTCTATAAGCGTTCAGGCTTTAAACTGCAACATGAAAACAGATAAAAACTACAAAAGGTAATCACTTACCAACGTGCAACACATGCAAGTCATCGAACAGCTTGCGATCATCAGTGAAACCTCCAAACACGAAGAGATATTTTCCTAGCGCTACAGTTGTGTGCCCGGCTCGGGGAATCAGCTTCTGACCTGTCGTCCGTAACTCCTTCCAAACTAAAGTGTCTGAAACAATGCGTTGTTGTAGAATATTAGGTTTCAGTTATACGCTAACTGGCTTTAAGAAAGGTAGTCCAAATTAGTAATCCTTATCCGGGTGAACTGGCAATTGAGTGTCAACGGGCCCTCGTCACTTCTCTTTGACATGCTATGACCTGACACAAAGATTCTGAGGAAGCTGCAGACTACGTTAAACTACAGGGTTACATCCAGAAAGGTACACGTTCAAAGATAGAAAAGCAAAATTTAGTGAGGGTGGCTCTCTGGGTTACAAAGAGGTTGTAACTTCCTCGCCACCAAGAAACAGAGACACATGGCGTACATAGGCGCATGTAGCACTCTATAGACTGTCTATTGTAAGGAACACTTTCAATCAAAGTGAGTGGATAGATGAGTGTGAAGACGACAAAGAACTTGCCTGCATCAAGAACATATATATCAGAAAGATACGAATTTGATGAATCTTCGCCGCCCAAAACTATAAATGTATTTCTGTATGAGGAACATGTGTGACTGTCCCTAGGGGCTGGAGCTGTTCCAAGAGTGGCTGCTTTCGTCCACTGAAAAGTTGCTGTAAGATGGCACATCATATCAGCTCCGGGCATCTTCCGTAACCAGTATCATAAGGCATATATTACAAAAGAAGATAGCTTACTAATTCCTGAAGCAAACCGTGTGGGATATATCATTCTAGACATAAATTGAAGTGAATTCCGCACGCACCCTGCAACCACAAAGAAATTCAAAGCCATGTAGGAGAGTCTTACTGGTTTCCAAAATGTACAGATCATTGAAGTAAGTCTCTTCCATATCATCAGGGGACCTCCCACAACCTCCGAAAACAAAGAGCCGCGTTCCAATGAGGGCGGCACTGTGACCCTCTCGCGCTGCTGGTCCATCTCCCTTCGTAATTGGAGTGCTCCATTGATTGGTTACTGGAATATTGATGGTGATTAGTAGGTGAGCAGCAAACTGGCATTTTTAAAAATAAGAAGGCGCAAAGCACTCAAGTGCGAGAACAGACCGAGTCCTATGTTGTTTCTAAGTTCAAGGATCTTGTGGGGGACGGCTTTTACTCAACATCTTACTACAGGTATACCGTTTTAAAGATTAAACCGAAACTAATCCAATAAGGTCAACAACACGATAATAAGACTGAAGAGAAGAGACAAGGTAGACAATTGAGTCCTACGTGTACGTTCAACAATCCTACTTATGGTAATCGCTTCAAACATTGTGTCCTACGAAAAAAACACCACTGTGCTAAACATACTGAGGCTGATCCGACAAAGTTCAGTATCATCAAATAGTTGTGAAATAAGTTTCCAACCTGTGTCAAGAATGTGTAGATCTTTCAGTGGACTGTTCCCATCTGTACCACCAAATACGAAGAGTTTGCTACCGACAGTGGTACAAGTATGGCTGTCTCTTGGTGTAGGTGCAGTTCCTTTCACCATGGGCTTGCTCCATGTCTGCTTAGCTGTACACAAATCACAGGGTCAGTGGACGGGCAGTGTCCCGAAAATGTGAAGGGTAGTGTATACACAACTCTTCACATTGCTAGTCAGAGCTAAGAGCATGAATAAATTAGGCAAAATACATGCACAAAGAGGGCTAACCTTAGAACGTGGATATTCGAAAACTGGCTTAAAACCGGAAGGTCTTTCAATACAAACGAGTCCGCTATTAAATGTTCTGAGCTACAGACGAAGATACATTGCTCCCGACGCCTCAGTCAACAAATATAACCTTTCACGAGAATATGCTCAGAGGATGTCGTACAGTTCGAATCATACAGGCAGTAACATTATGGCATGTAAGCAGTCAGTTCTGCTTGTATTAGGCTCATTAGTAGAACGAACAACCAATGTAGGAGGGTGTACTCTTCGGGTCTTCTGCGTGTACTAACGATAATATTCACATAAGCAGCATAGCAGTCGCAACAGGCAGGGTTCAGGCAATGCTCGGGAGCGAGATAAGGTCACAGCAAGTGTAACGAAATTCAGCTCCAAGACTCGCCATGATGAAGTGCAATGAACAATCTTTCTTGAAAGTTAGGGCACATGGACACATACCCATCAGGCCAACAGCTGATTTCCTTTCTCTATCTAAGATACAAACATGAGGAAACCATTGAGACGTGTCGAGCAATCGTCCACTCTAAAACCAGACTTTGCCACACGTCAGAAGCACTCCTCATTGCACAGCTAATTCACGGAGGAGACTGGAAGAACGAGAACTCACTTGTATCAAAAACATGAACATCGTTTGTTTGACAGTCGTCCCGTCCATAGCCACCGAACACGTAGAGCAGACGCCCACTCTTTACCGCATTGCATGTATGCCCCCATTTCCTTCCGGGGCCGTGCGCTCCTCCTCTGCGCACAGCGGGCTTCTTCCCATCCGGTGTTTCCTTCGCTTTGACCTTCACCTGAACGCGTTCCCACTTCATCTCCAGCTTTGCTTGCTTCTTGTGCGAAGCCCAAAGGCCTAGATAATCCCCTCACCCAATTACCTCACGCACAATTACGAAGGTCCTTCAATCTTGAAGGAAAAGCTCAATGAGCAAGCTCTGTGCGTCTGTCTCTCGCTCAGTTCGCCGTCGGTGGCCGGTGTCCACTTCGAATTTCAAAAAAATTCCCTCCGTAAACCGTACACGAAGCAACTAATCCCTCGGGACGAATAATACCCTCGGCAATCCCCCGCGCGCAAAGTTTATCTTTTTGCTCACATAAACAGCGCGAAGCCACTATATGTCCCTCGGCTGCCAACGTCACAGATGTCCAGTTTAGTTCCAGAAACCACAATAATTTCCGAAACGCGTGTGTCGAAAATGAAAACGAAGTGCGTTCAAAAAGCACCTCCCTCCCTTTTCCACAAGAGATACGCGAGGCCTATTCCTTCACTTGAAGTCAATTTGCGAAAAGAAATTGCTCTTCTATTTCCACAGACCCGAAACTCTCCCCGGTAGGGTAACAGAAACGGAGAGCTACGGTGCGCGAGAGAGGACCTCACTCACTAATCCCAGATGTTTATTTGACGAAATAACCCTATCTCAGCTACAACACCGACAACACCAACAACATTCGCACCCCGCCCGCGCACATATCTCTAAAACACAAATTCCAGATTACCCTAGGCCGCGGTGGCAAACAACGATTAACACTGTGAGGAAATACGGCCCCCCGCCTCCTCGCGTCCGCGAACGAAATAGGATGACAGATATAGCGGAACTACGGTGCTTCACTAGTCGGCGCGTTTATTCCGAACAAAAAAGGACCTATTTCGCTCTCCGCCCAGGCCCCCTCCCTCGCACATATCTTTGACCCGGCAAAAATTCAAGATAACCCTAGGCGCAGATCCAAAACAAAGCAGCCATACCAACAACAAACTGCGAGTGAGAGAATACGCCACCACCACACCCTTCCCTCCCCTTCCTTCCTTCCTTCCCTCCTCCTCCTCCTCCTCCCTCCCTCCCTCCTTGATTCCTCACTTCCTTGCCTTTCCCCAGTCTCCAAGGGCGGCCGCGAAAGCCAAAGAAAAAGGATGGTGACAAGTATAGCGACCTACGGGTACCACCGGCAAGACCCACTAAAAGACCAGTTAGGCCGCACGCGAAAACAACATAAAACTTTGACCTATCCCTCCAGCACCACCACCTGCTGACGAACCCCGTGCATCTCACTAACCACACACTGGAAATTCAAGATTACGGTACCCTTGGTAGACAGAGGCAGACACCTCGGCGCCAAAACGATTGTCGCCCACTCACTCCACTCACAGTACTTGCTTACTGTGGAGCAGTAGCAGCAGCAGCAGCATGAGCAGCAGGAGGAGGAGGACGGCCAGCGCTAACCCCACGTCCGCGAATGCAAAAGTGCGACAGAAGTAGAGACCCCGCTGGTGAAGGTGAAGGAGGAGGTGGGTGAGTGGGTGGGTGGGGGTGGTGGTGGTGGCTGCTTCCACGACCTCTCTAAACGCAGAGACGGCACCGCACTGGGCCGGACTGCCTCGAATGAATGATTATTCGCGTGGATGTGTGCGAGCGAGCAAGCCCTATTTCGGGCCCTACAAAGGCTTCCTTGTCAATAGTATGAATTTGCGTCTGCCTTTGGCCTTCCCTCGCCTCACCTTTTATGACCAACATACGACGACACCGCCCGCCCTGCAGCGACGCGCGGCAAGGTGCAAAAATGCTACCGCAGTCCCATCCACTATGCGTTGCAGCCGGTGCAAATGTGGCTCCTGGCCACAGGCGGTGGAGCAAAAGGGAGTCTCCTTGGGCGCGCTCTCGCACCCATTTGAACTGCGCACCCGTTAACCCTATCTATCTAGCAGCGGCTCAACAATAACGGCAGCCAGCCAGCACTCCATGGCCGGATGATCACGCCTGCTCTCCTCCTTCCACCGCGCGCGCCCACACGCGCACCAAAAAAGCGAGGTGCCAAAATTCAAAAACACGACTTCGTTTATCAATGCGAAGTAAATACATCGCCCCGCTCCGCTTGCTCATTGCGCGCCGTCGTCCTCCGCGGGCCGGCCCTCCTGCTCCTCCACGGGCCGGGTCCGGTCGGTTCCTCTCCACCCTGACACGCTCCCGCTTCCTTTTGAAGTACGTAACCCGCGTTGGGATGAAAAACTTTCAAATGACAACGTCCTTCTGTTTGCGTGGCATGACAAGCCATGTTCAACTGTGTACAGTGCACGACGGGGTCGCGGGATTAATCCCATAGGTCATAGTCTGGACGCACTCTAAACTCTCGCCGAGAATGCAGTGCCGATAAGAACCGAGCCTATTGTCCATTCAGATAAGACAATATATCCTGGTAAAGCACACGTACTTGCGTTGTCCGATTCTTCTTCTTCTCTTGTCTAATTCCAATAATATTCGATTGAATAGACCTCCGGCCATTTTCCCTTCTTTAGCGCCAAGCAACAGCACATCGTATACCAAAAGAACGAACGTCTAATGGCGATATGATTCCACTTTCTCTCCCGGCACAACACAATCACTTTTGTTCCCTTAAAAAACCCACACAAAACTAATCATGTCCCCAGTGTATAAATCATCATCCACATTAGCTTTTTCTTTAGTGGGGTCTTGATGGTCACTTCGCAATATTTTTACTCATCACTTTTTGTATATGTTCGAAACACCCACAATTGTAGGCAAATTCATATATTTATCTTCAATAGCATGAAACTCTATGTGTTTTATAATATTTATTTATTTATTTATTTATTTATTTATTTATATACCTATGCCTATGGTTAAATAGATCAGCATCGAATTACTTTAACAATAAATTAATCATGGACTGTTATACTGAGTTTAGTTTATTTATTTAGTGTACAATTTATCCGTCATATGCCGATGAAATGTTGAAATAGTGAACCAAGTGACATGATTTATCTTTAAAAATTCAATTGTTACATTTACATGCAGCTAATTTATTTTAATAACACTCCCTTCTTTCCAAAACTTAACCTATTGCAATAAAAGAAGATATATTTCTGAAAATATATTCAATATCACAACAAACTAATTTGAATTCATCAAGAGAAAATACCTCATCGTGTGTTGATATATATACATCAATACATGAAATAAAGGATTTTCACAGATAGAAAGATATATATATTCTATTATTATGTTTTATATAACAAAAAAATGCATATACAAAAACTGAATTAGATTTAAAGTACATATTGTTCTTGGCGGATACCTACAATAGGGAATTAATTCTTTAACCTTTTCAGTTGAGAGCCTTGTCTTCTAATTACTTTCAAACATTGCAATATGATGATTAAAGCTTGCGATTCGATTGTTAGACATAAAATCATGATTTTTATAGGCAAAGAAATAATTTACTAGAAATAGCATTTATACTCTAAAGTCAACTTGTTATAATCTTTGTGATACATTGAAATTTAAAAACTTTAACCTTTTCATAAAACGTACTAAAATTTATATCCATTCATGATTTTATTTAGAAATTATTCTGTTCAAGTAATCTGCACTATGACAAATTTTAATGTGACTATTTTAAAAAAAAAATTATGAATATCAACATTCCGTATTTGTTATTTTCACTCTGAATGTGTCTATGCTATCTCGAAATGAAGTGCAAAACAAGACAAATTAAACCAAATTTTAGAACAGTATGTACATAATATTTTGAGTTATACCATGAAGTGTGTTTTAATCTTGAAAGCATTTATATTGAATTTATATACAAACACATTTCACTATATTTCATTTTATATTGTGATAGTTTGATGACGAAATTACAAATGAAGCACCAATGGTTTTTCAAATAATATCTGAATAAAATTTGAGTAATAAATAGAAGCAAATTCAAATTTAAGTTCAAATATTATAATTGGGCTAACTAAAAGCTTGAATGGAATTCTTTTATTAAATTATTCATGATCATGATTTTGAAATTCAGGTTCTTCAAGCAAGTATCATATCTTGTATTAAACTTTACAAATAAAAATAATTCAACCTCATCACAAACATCAAACCTGATGCACGCAATAATGATTTCATCAATAAATTGACAAGTTTATATTATTTTGTTAAAATATGTAATATATTTTCAATAAAATTCATTGTAGAGGACCATTTCATATTTGCATATTAGGTGATGTACCAGATTCTTGAATAATATTTATATTATATTAAAAGGATATTATAACGTAATAAACAATAATTTTCAAATATTTTAATTGTACATGGATTTCTTCACGAATTTCATACAATTAATTGAAGATATGTTTTGTGAATTTAAAGCATAATTTGTTTTTCTGTTCATACAAAATGAAATATCTATTGAAATTTCATCAGAAACAAACATGCAGATTTATATAATGCAATTTGATGACACATATAAAGTTTAATATATCATTAATGAATAAGGGTTTAACTTATGTATGATTACATACAAAAATGTTAAAAATGGGAGTACATTACAAATGTTGATTTTTTCATGTAAATTTCATGAAAATCCATTTTGAAAAAATAATTGGTCTTACAAAAAATTAGAGTGCATTTTTCAATCGTGCTAAATATAAAAAATGTAATGGTCTCCGATCTATGTAATTTACTCCATGATTTTTCTATCATAGCTAACTTGCATTAATACTAAATACAAAGCTCTTCAAATCAAGAGTCTTTCATCCGTATAGTTTTGATGATTTTGATGTCTTACATAAAATTATTTTGTTGTCATTTTCCATACTAATCTATTAAAGAATGAAAGTTACAATATTACATTAGAATATCAACAATATTTTCCTTTCATATTGGCTTTAAATTTTGGACTCTAAAATTTTATCCAAATTGCTCAAAAATATCTTATATAGGAAAAATTGTTCAAAAAACCATCATTAATCATTCTGATGGTTTAATAAAAAATTCAATTGAATTTTTTAAATTTGAGAAAAAATGAAAAGTATGATTCATTATATATCTTTTAATATGGATAAATTTTAATATGAAAATACATTAAACATATAAAAATTACAAAATTGATGAAATTATTCATCAACATTAAATTTTACATTTGATTTGGTTAATTTTTTGTTTGTATTTGTATTGCAAATATTTCTTCTCATATAACATAAATTGTTGACATGCCACACTCACACACATACATATAAGAAGCAATGGCATACACATACGCAAATGTATTAGAACTTCGAGTAAAATTGTTATGAACGTTCCATTTGCATAAAACACGAATCTCACATATAGTCAAGCCAAGCTCACTTCACGAATAGAAAAATCCAAATCGATACTAACGGGATACCATAGCTAACCCACTAAAAGTAACTCATAACGCTAAAGTCTCAACTGCTATAACCTTCAATTTTGTGAGTATTCACTCAACTATACTCCCTAACAAAACTGGTGACTAACAAGGAGTTACCTAAACTAGAGTTATCACTTATTCAATACTAGCACTCATAACATATATGGAAATTATATATTATTAATGCTAAAGATACAATATTATTTTCTTTATATCATGAACTACTTCAAAAATATTTAAGTATTGAAAATATTCAATAAATTGTTAATTTTCAAGAATATTGACTAACACCTATTTATAATTTTTTTTATAAAAATTAGAATAAAGAATGAAATAAGTTTGATCTATGTGATTTATAACTTGTAGATAAACTAAAACATAATAAAATATTCAAACTTTAAGAGTCCAAGATGCTAAAAAAATGCGTTTCAAATGAATGATTGAATTTGTATTCAAAATATGCACATGCATAATTTAATTACATACAACTCTTTCCTATTTAAACATGTTTTTAATGATAATCTACCATATCAAGTCATAATAGAGTCATGTCTATCACTTGTTGTGTATGAAATTGAATTTTGTCACTTTTTTCTTAAAGCATGATAATATCATTAAA